CAGCTAGCTAGCCGTGAAGATGGCTAGACAGCTGCGGGAGTCCGCAGCCTGTAGCGATTGCTTCATTTGCTGTTTAATGGGGCTTCGTTTGTCGTCTCCACGCACTGTATGGACGCAGCGAGAATGAGGGAAGAGTAACAGAGCCCTGCTCACGTGTTGTGACGGCGCTGTTCACTTCCTCTTCTTTTTCATGTTCGGTTTCAACCTCTTGCGTCTACTTAAAGTTTACATCATTAAACATTACCTTCTATACAGCTGCGGAGCCTACTGCTTCCCAGCGCAGCGGACGAAGGAGCCCAGGGCACAAAGAACAGAAATGCAATTTAAATATAAATAATATATATATAAATTAAGTGTAATGTGTGTAGAAGGCCCCAAGCTGTGGCTCCCATAGAAACAAGAGTGGAGGCTGTGGGTCTGCCTATTCGATGCTGTATTACTGTCAGCGGATTTAATGCATGAAAAGTCGCTAAAGTGCTTCGACTTCCAAAAGCAGAAATTTCATTAAGGCCTCCTCTTACGCACCTGAACGACGAGGCTTTACTTTTCTCCCTTGTGAAATTTCATTGACATGCAGAGTACAGCACTCTCGTTCTACTTCGCCTTCTAGCTGGTTGGCTAGCTACCGTTCTGGCTAGGTGGGAAACTGCTCGTACACCTCCACTTCACCATATTTCATTAAGAAGCAATATGGGTTATCACTGTCTTACTCTGTTTCTTAATAAAATCTCATTAAAAAGAAGCAAAGTAGAGCATCCTCGTTCAGGTTTACAAGATACATCACAGTGGGATATGCCTAGAAATAAACACTTTATGATGGCGATGTTTCGTTTTGTTTCCTTTTAGAGGAAGGAAACGAGACCTGACAGCCCCAGTTCGTCCGCGCCTCTTCTACGAATAAATCACGTAATTAGCTCTTTGTATGCAGTTGAATTGCCTTTAAACGATTAAACTTGTTCTTATATATTCAATCGATACAACTATTCTCTCTAGATCTGAAGGAAGATGAATAAACGATATATTTTGATGCAAACAACAGCACCAAGAGCCGTTTCCTTTGCCTGTACTCGCTGAGCCCATCGTCGCATTTGACTCTTTTGAAAGTAGTGCTGCTTAAAGACTCAGTATAAATACAAAAAAAGTTATAAAAAAAGCAAATCTACAGAAATAAAAGGCACCTGTACTTCCACCGTACACCACCAGACTTCCCATCGCACCGCCGCCCTTCCTTCTTGTCGTCGATAGCAGGGGGTTGTATACACATAAACCACTTGCTTCCACTCAAGAAAATTGTTCTACTGGTGAGATTGTGCATGCATTTAGAAAGAAAATGCACTTAGTTTCGTTAAGTACAGCCATGATGACCTCCATTTCAGCAATTGCCAATCGCCTCCTTCCAATTCTGAATGGTCTGGACCACCGTCCCTCGTCGGTTCAGCGCCACACTGGCGGTATATCTAAAGAGACAACTTAAATAATTCATAATATCAATAATTTAATCTGCTCGGTTTCGTAAAAAGATTCCACAGCTTTCACATTTATTGTCTCTGCACCTACCGCCAGCAACCTGGTGCACTGAATCTTGCAACGACACCCATCAAAGCTGAAGTGAGGCTGCTTCTTCCAGCAGGAAAAGGCTTTCATTGGATTCTAATCCCTTATTTATGGTGGATTATCATGCAAACTGAATAATTCAGAGATGTCTGTATCGAGCTGTATACGCAGCTTCGACCCGTCGTGGTTGGTTGGCCAACTTCGGTTGGTGGTCCGATGTGAGCATTCTTTTCAGTTGTTGCTTCTGCTGGTTTTTACTCCTCTTTTTCACATTTCCTTCCCAATATAATAATAGTATTAATATATCGTATTACAATTAATATATATTTATTTATATGTATGTCTCATAATCACTGATAATGAAGCCAACTCTACGCACCACTCACCACCGCAGTGTGGCTGGCTGTGCCCCCCCACCCCAACTAACGAATACGAATGAGCCCGGGCCTCCCCTTCGGTCGGAATGTTTTTCTCTGTCGGTTACATTTGTTGTTTTGTTCTTTCATTGTGATCATTTAGTTGTTCTCTGCGTTTTACACTCTGCTTTCTTTCACAATGGGGCTCATCTTCAAGTCATCCGCTTTCTGCCTCGTGGCTCTCTATGGGTTTCAGTTAGCGACGGCGGCGCCTCCAACCTTCGCTGCGGAAGATGTGACCGATGGTAAGCAATCGCAGCTTTTCCGTGTTTTTCCTTTCTACTTTATGTTCTATAAGGACCAGAATGTAAAGAGCCAGGAGAAGCGCATCTTCCCCATTGATCATCGCTCCGCATTCACGTTCTCATCATTGCTTCTGTGTGTTTCTGCTTCTCATGACCGCAGATGCCTACCTTTCAGTCAACTTGGCGCGTAATGGGAAGCTCTCTGTTCATATTAACGAAGTAACAAAGGCGGACGATATGGTTCAGACCCTAAAAACAGCTTTGGGGGACGGCACCGGACTGACGAGCTCCGATGCAACATGTGACAACATGGCACTTGGAGCAAGCCTTGTGAGTAAATGCATCATTTGAAAGTACATTTGAAAGTACCTTTTGAGTATGTGCATCATTTAAGAGTACTCATGATAGAACCTGAAGAGACCTCGGAACAGACGAACATACAGCTTGACCTCTTTTTTTCTTTTTTCGTTTTCAGAAGCTAACATTTAGCGTGAAGTTCACCCAGGAAACCAGCAAAACCACCAACTACCGCGAGATGGTGCAAACTGCCTTAAACAAGGGGCTCGGGTAAGCTTCCTTCCTCATGTATGAATTTATGTATATATATACATGTAGTATATACATATATATGTGAATATATATATTTTATATATCTATATATATTTTTATATATCCATCGCTTCTTTTTTGGGGTTTGTTTTCTCTCAGGCAATTGCCGACGTACCCATCGACGTGGAACGCGTTCTGGGCGAACGCAGATGGCGCGAATTTGGCGAATCTGCTTTGGTCTCAAAGTACGAAGATTGCATGCGCCGTCGGTGTATGTACTGATGAGTCACCACTACCGTCAGGAAAAGAAGCTATTCTCGTCTGCCAGTTTTCTCCAGCCGCTCAAGAAAATGCAGCTCCATTCAGGTGCGTGAATGAAATGCTTTGACCTGCTGCCTAGCACTGATATATATATATATATAAAATATGTATATATGTATGTAAATATATATGCATTGCATATATTTATGTGTTCGTATACTTATATA